GAAACGTTCAAAAGACATCAATCCATTTCTGATTATTGATTGTTCACTAAATAATTGCGCCGTTTATCGATGCTGACTCTCATTAGTCTATTATAGTTATTTTTTTTGCCTGTATATAACTTTTGAATATAATCAAATATGTTATTTATGTTGTACTTTTTATGAAATTATTTATTTTATAATTACATGTGAAATATATGATACAATTGCATGTGAAAGAATGAAATTGTTCAAAAGATTTTAGCGAACATTTATTATCAGTTTGTACGGCTTGTTCAATGATATTTTTATAATTTAAATGCATTTTGAATATAACTTTATTGCTTGGGAATGTTGAAATCATTAAATTTTGGCGACCAAATTGTAAAATATTTGGGGAAAAAATGTTATATAAATAGACATATTTTATATATAATTGTATATAAAATACGTCAATTTTTTATATACAATTACTTATATACAATTTTATATAATTATATATAAAATCTTTTTTCCAGAATAACGTATTTATTCTTTAATATTTATTTTAATAATATGTATCAGTAGATTATAATGTATCTAACGTCAGAATAACTTTACAAGAATACGTACGGAATAACAAAGTATCTATTTCTTGCGATTCAAAGTAAAAGACATTGCTAAAACGAATTGTTAAAACCAAGGTTAATAGAACGTTTTTTTTGCAACTTATATTGGAAGTTTTCTTCATTAGAACTAGAATTATACATCCTTTTCTTAGAAATTTTTCTTTAAAATTTATTTGTCTAATTTACATATAGAAAGAATTTTCTAGAAAAAATATAAATTTCCTCAGCATTTCTGAAGTGCTTTAATTTATTGTATTAAAATAATATGAAAAAAATGATCTAAAAAATTATAAAATTATTCTGAAATTTATAGAAAAATTTTGAAAAATTATGTGAAAAATTCTGAGAAAAATCAAAGTACAGAAAGAAGTTAATTATACTCTATAACATGTTAATTAATTATTAATATTATATTTGACTTTAATAAATAAAAAATATGCATATAAGCGATCACAACTAGAAACTTACTCAAGCAGAACAACTATGTTTTCTTTACACCAACTGATTCATCTCATTATTTCATTCATAAAAGTATTAAGATACGATTATCAAAAAGTTAATAATTTATGAGTTATTTAACTTTTTATGTCAATATATGTGTCAAATTAAAGTGCAATATAAAATATCTCGTAAAATATTTGTTTTTTGATATCATTACCTCAATTAATACTTTTATATGCAGAATAATTAGAGGCATCATATTATGTAAAAAAAAA